CTAGTAGCGAACATTGCTCCTACTAGTAAGGCACTTGTTACTAGAAGCGATGCACTTGTTCCTAGTAGCTTCTTGTTGCTACTAGTAAGGCACTTGTTACTTGTGCCGTTTTGCATGCACAGTTTTCCCCACAAAGTCTGAATTGCAGCGGCGAAGGATGTGTGCCGCCAGCTTGGCGTCAATCAAAAGATGACGAAGCTCAGTTGCAGACATCATGGTTGTGTGAGAGCATGTGCATGCGTGTGCACGGCTTGTTTTTGATAGGGATTGCATGATCTCATCAGCCCCAAGTCATTGACCACTGATATAGCACGACGCTGTTCATGCGTTGGTGCACCTGGTTTTGCTTGCCTTCTTTCAGGATGTGGATGGCCTCAAGGACACTGTCACCAAGCTTCTCGCATTTATGAAGAGGTGCGAAACTGCAGCATGGCAGCGTGAATTGTAGAAACCAGGCCCCGATAGGCATCAGCAACAGGTAGGGACACGTTGGGGAGGATGTGAGGGTAGATGCCACATGTGCATTCTTGGCTAACACGGGCTGAGTGTATGACATGCAGGAGGCTTAAATTGGCGATAGATCCCATACAGATGCCGGATGTGATGTTGGAGCAACCATGTTTGAGTGTGTTTGCCTGGAAGGTTGGATGAGCGCCTACCACCGCCACTGATCTCACACCAAGAGTGCCAAGAGAAGTTGGCAGAGCGTCCTAGCGAGGAGGGGTGCCTGGGAGATTTGCAGAGTCCTGAAGCACGGACCAAGTCTGGCGGAATACACTGCTTGCTTGGCCTTCACGGCAAGAATGGACAGACACACATAGAGACCTCGAATAGACGCAAAATGGGTAGAATTGTGACTTCAGGGGTCTTAAGAAAGGGATCATGTTGGTGAAGATAATTGGAATGCGAGGCTTGTGGTTTTGATGGATGACGAATCAGCACTGAGAGCATGCTTGTATGCATGCTCACATGAGCAAGGCTAAAAACCTCCCAAGATGAACTAAGTAAAGGCCTTGTCATATGGAACTTGGGCGTAAGCAAAAGCCTGAAAAGTGTAAGGTTGCGTATGGGAGTTGTGAGACATGCATGTTGCTTAAGCTTGCCATCTGGTTGTGTTTTCATTGGTAGATTCTTAGCACACACCTGTTAAGAAAGGAACTGTATGGACCAGGAGAGCTTTGAAACCCTTGGAAACTGACATTTGTGCGCACTGTGTTTCAGGTGTGTGCACTGTGCTTTTTTTGTGTTTGCCACTCTGTCATAACATATCAAACCGTTCTCATCATAACATGTCATAACATGCCAGGCTCCGTTTGCTGAGGACTTGGTGGCGTAAGGTTCGCGTAAGCCAACTTTCCATTTGCCTACCCTAGCCCACGGCACCCAGTAAGTAGATGCTAGTAATCCTTTGCTTCCTTTGCTTCGGGGTCTTAGTGATCATGTGTTTGTCGCCCGCTCACCTGCAAAAAGGAGCCTTCTCGTAAGCATTTCCCTTGGGAGTATGGTTCTCATGTCAATGTGTGAAAATGCAAATTGCGAAAGATCTGGATCTGCGTAAGGTTTTCTTCAATATCCGTGGTGCGTAAGCTCACATTGTGGTCGCGTAAGAAGCGTAAGCAGGAGCGTACGAAAGTTATACGACATAATTAGGGGTTTAATCATACGTATTTAGCCCAGCTCACATCAAAGTGGATGTATAATGATGTATTTATATATATATATACATAATATATATATATATCGGGTATACTGTTTAATGTATACAGTATACAGTAACTAGATTTGGGGGGGCGGCGTTTATGCAATTGCCAGTGGCTCACATGCTGCTGGGGCAGGTTCGAGGGCTTTACGATGATGTGGAAGAGCATTTCTTGAGAAGCCACCTGGAGGCCCCAGCGGTCAATGCAGTCGCGACTTGGCCCTAAAGGCCTGCGGGATCCTGCAGGTAGAAGGATCTGAAGGACTCAAACCCATACACTTTAGAGCAAGCATCCGCAAGTAAAGCACTGACAATTACAGTGAAAATCCTGATGTGCATGGTCATTGTATGTAATGTATAATTAATTATGCTGCACTGGTTGATTGCGGTCTTCTACTACAGCCCTTGCTGATTGGCTGGCAGCGGCTTTTGCATGAGGAGCTTCAGGGCCTGCTTTTTACCGTGGCCTTTGGAGATGAGGCCGAGGAATCTTGGCGTGAGGCCGTGACACCTTGTGGTGCGCACATAGCATTACGGTCCGACGGCGCATTTGCTCCCTCCCAAGGCCCGGTGGTGCCATGAGAGTCATGAAAGAGTTCTGAAAGAGTCATGTGATGTCAAACTCCACCCTGATTTGTGATGCAGGAGTCATTCGCGTGACTCATGTGGCTTTTGGTTCTTTGGTCTTGTGGTGCCATGAACTGAGGCATTGATGATGATCAGTAGCGCTGATGCGATGGGGAAGCCCACAGAGGTCACGGAACCAGGGGATATACGGAAGACGGCTCTTCGGATGTATGCGTTGAATAATTGAAGGTGACACCACGGCAATAGGGGATCGAAATGATCGACCTTTGCCTCATGGGCCCCTCGAGCATGTTCCGGAACCAAATCCAAAGAAATGGATAGCCCAGCCATGCCGAGCCCCTGGCCCTTGTCAGGTGCAATTGGACGTCAAAGATTCCAATGGACGTACTGCCCTCCATTGTGCCGCGTCCAGAGGGTCTGCTGCTATTACCCGTATGCTTTTAGAGACTTGGTTTGACTCGGTTGAAGCTGGAGGTGGTTTCCGTTTCTCTTAGTTTGATCGTGCTTGGACATGTATTGTCTCTATTTAGCTGTCTTAGATGCCTTTATCGTCCCTTCTCATGTTGCTGCATTGCTCTTATTGGACAAATGTTACCTCCATGGCCCTTTTCAACTTAAGGATCACTCGAACTTTGTGCACTATATCAATAGCCCGGACCGGTACCTCCGAACAGCCTCTTTGGCTATACGGGAGTGCAAGATTCCGAGGTGTAGGATGGAAAGGAGGTTTACACCTAGCCATGCAAGGAAAGAGCGTTAATTTGATGAGGGATTGAGAATGACGACAGGACAGAACTGCAAGACAAGGCTTTGCATATGGCAGCCCGGGCTGGACATGCAGACGTTTGCCGGTTGCTATTGAACCACCGACACTTGGCCTGTTGCTGATCGAGAGCCCCTACCACATCTTTAACACCAAGCCAGCCAAAGCCACACCACACAGAACACAGACATAATCATATGTGACATAACTAATTCTATAATTAGGGTTGCCTGTTGGCTGCCGCTCACGCATCTTGATATTTACATATATATATAATATACTATATTATGAGAACTCGCGGCGTGTTTATGAGGACTGTTCAATTCTCCTAGCGCAGCAGATTGCGATGGTCAAACGGCCTTGCACCATGCAGCGGCAGCTGGGCAGGACGAAGTAGCTTGACAGCATTTGACAGCATCAAGGGTCAACCTGCAAAGACAGTTAATTATATAGCTGGATTGAAGAGCCAATCGAAAAGCCTTAAATGTTGCATGATGTTGCATGATCTCCCAGATCTTGTATGACGTGCCTTGATCCGATGCGTTTCTTTTTTTGGTGCCGCAGTCCAAGGGATCTTGTGAAAACAAAGCCCAAGGTATGCGCTGCGCTGATGGAGCACTCAGACTTCAGCGGTTTGGAGGTCGTGGACTGTTTTGGGCGGACCGCTTTGCACTATGCTGCTCGAGGAGGACATGAGGAGGTGCCTGACGATCAGACATGTCATGTCGCCCCCCATGTTACAAAAGTGCAGTGTGTGTGTGTGTGGGGGGGGGGGGCGTGTGCGCGCTCCAATCTCGTTTTGTATCATTTCATTGTATGAGCTGCGACGTGCATTATCGATATTTCATGCATTCGAGTTTCCTTTTCTAAGCCAAACATCCAGAACCGTTTTGTGATGATGAGGGCGTCTCATTGCCAAGGTGGCGGAGATCTTGCTGAAGGATGCTCAAATGAGCACAGTCCCTTGCTTGCAGCAATGCTGCTCTTTAGGTACTGTATTGTACTGTATATGCTTGGAGTGTGTTCAAACGAGTTGTCAGCAAATGCACAGAGGTAGCTGTAGAAAGTGCTTCTGAGGTTTGGCTGATGGAACCTAGCTTCAATCTATTTGTGGGTGCGAGTGTTGACCAGCAGGTCTCGGAATTGGGTCGTCAGGTTTCATTTGGTGCCGGACCTTGTTTTCCCTTGTTTTGGGGTAGTTGCTTGGAAAGAATCAAGCGACGTGTTTGTCACGCAGAAGAGGGTGTTTCAGGACTGTGACCATTTGTCCCCATTGCATTGCGCTGCATTCCGCGGGCACAATGGCTTCTGTGAAAAGATCCATGGCTGCAGACTGGGGGTCTCGGCAATGCAAACTTCTCATATGCAGAGTCACTTCCAGCATGAATGCCTGCAGAACTCGCAGATACCTCCGCAGTGCCAGAGCCTCCTGAGGATTGTTGCTCATAGCAGCTTCAAAGAAGCTTGTGACGCAGGCGTCCTCAAGGTTGCTTCATTGCGACATGCCAGAGATGACCTTTGGCTGTGGATTGGAAGAAGGGTCATAGCACAGTCCGATGTGCGAAATCAAGATTCACTCCAAGGAAGTGCGCACAACACTACAGCAAGCCTTGGAAGCCATTGGTTTGTCTTTACCACCGCTCAATGAACATGGATGTCAGGACCTGCATGAGCGGTGCCAAGCAGCCAAGCACAATCATTTCATTGTAGATTTGCTATTCAGTGTAATTAGTGTAACCGGTGTTCCTGTCAAAACGACATGACTTGAATTGCTCAGACCATCTCTGAGGCCCAAGTCTATTTCACCCCCACCTGCAGGACGAACCAGATGCATTGCAAGGTGGCTCCGAAGCAGAGTGCCAAGAGCATTCGCCCGGCTCGGCGTCCAAGGAATTGGACCGGATCGGACCAGTCGGGCAGCAGGTACTCTGCTCCAAGGAAATCCAACAATGGTACTTCAATGGACGGGGATGGGGAGAGATCCGCCACTTTTTACAAAGGGCCGGCTCTAACAGTCCTGCCATACACTCCTATTGCCCCCATTTGCCCTTATTCTTTCAAAACATGTCCAAATCAAGCTAAACCCACCTTCCTGCATTGTCTCTGAGAGTGCCTTTGATTGGCGAATGTTTGGAAGCCGCACGGGCAATGTCATGTGGTAGTCGGAACATTCTGAGAGTGCCTCCAAGGTCTAGAGCCCGCCGAAGAGAGGGTGGAGGGCTTTCCAGGACATTCCGATGTTCTGAGTTTTGTTCGTCGTTTGTTTCTTGAGTTCCTCCTTAGACTACAAAGGCATCCTATGAATCCCTATGGGCTTTGGTATGCCATATGCGGCATTGATGTTCTACATGGCTGTTGTTTGAGTGTTTCATCGGGCGCAGCATAAGTTGCGCCATTGCGGCTTTGTTTCAGGGCTTGGCGCCAAAAGCATGTTTGGTGGATCTCCGTTGGTGGCAATAGATCAGCAGCTCCAAGCAGTGAAAGTGATACCTGGCGTGACTAGATGAAGCTGTGAGGGTAGCATCGCACACACACAAAAATCACAAATATATATGTTATATATATAGTTGTATATACCATATATTTGCTATAGATGGAATGCATTTTGTTACATATATTTGCTATAGATTGAATGCATCCAGCAAAGCTTCCGACCATGCAGTGCCAAGTCCATGAGCTTCGGTTTGAGTTATCGTGTGGAACCTAAATCATGCAGAATGGATCGTACGCCCGAGTTTGGACACTCTTCGAGGGTGCCAGAAGCAGAAACGAAAGTTTAGAATCAATTGAAACGAAAGTCCTTTGCCGTTCCTTCTTTCGCTCAAGGAAACCCATGGACTATTTCGCACAGCTGGATCGTGATGGAGACGGCCGACTGACAGATGAGGTGGCTGGGCTTGAACAAAGTGATTCCCGCGGCCGACTCAGCCACCAGCTGAACCAGGGCCATGTAAGGCCCATGTTCTGACTTGAGTAGCCTCCTTGTTCCTAGTAGCGTCCTTTGTTCCCAGTAGTAAGGCCAGGAGCCCCTAGTAGCGTCCTTGCTCCTAGAAGCGATGCCAGGAGCCCCTAGTAGCTTCTTGTTTCTATTTGAGAATGCAAGCACGTACGAAAAGTTGCTCCATACATCCCAGTTATATATTGTACGTAGAGTATTGTTGTGTTTGTATATTAATAGTTGGATATAGTTGGATTGTCCTCCCCAATCCTTGAGAAAGACTATAAAGATCACTTCAATCCCAACAGGAGGCAGGTATATGTATGTCACGCTGCAATGATTTGAGAGCTGTTTGTGTGTATTGCCGATTTGTCACGGACTGTGCCAGCATATTTTGCAGTTTTCAATCGTCACTGTGGTTCCGAGGAGCTGCGAAAGTGTTTGCTAAGTGTTGGGCTTCTTGGCTCTTAGCAGTCAGACGGAGCGTTTTCTGGTTGATGTGTCTTCAAAATCACTCAAAATAATGCGAGCTCATCATCAGCAGTTTCACCTAACTTGCACTTCCTGCAAGGATACCAGAGTGAAGATCACACATATTTGCACAAGGTAATGTCAGTTCATGTCAGTTCCCTTGAATTGCATATGCCAAAAATATTGGCTGAATTTCTACGTGTGTCCATCAACCCGGCTCTTATTGGCCTCCTTACTTGGGAAGATTCCTGTTCATTGCTCACACGACTGCTAGGTACAAAGTGAGCGCCAAAGAACTGGAAGATTTGCTCACGCGTTTGGATGCAGAGCGGGCTGGCACTGTGGACATCGTTGTGCTGGACAGGGCCGTAGCCTACTCAGTCTAGCAGTCTAGCACTAAATTTACACATCATTAAATAAGCTTGGTCCAATCCTGTTGTGATCTACTGCACGATCTACCGCGCCACTCAGTGTGGCACTTGACATGCATTGGGCCGAGCAGCCATTTGCCCAGGTGAAATTGGATGGGGCAGAGTTCGAAGCCAAGCGACGTCAGGAGCTGGAGCGAGCCATGAGGAGAGCTGCAGGCAGAGATGGCATCGGGTCTTTCAAAAACCAATCATGGAAGTCGAAACGGAACAAGAACGCTACTAGGAGCTAAGGGCATCGCTACTAGCAACAAGGACGCTACTATATAGGGGCTCCTAGCCCTATATACTACTAGGAGCAAGAACGCTACTAGGAACAAAGGGCATCGCTACGAACGGAGCAAGGACGCTACGAGCGGCGCTTTATTACTAGGAACATAGGACGCTACATGGAAGTCGATACGGCCCCTTGAGACATCATGTTCCTTTCAGGTGTTTTCAACTGATTGTTATAAAGACTAATAGCTCGTTGCTCCTAGTAGTAAGCCCAGAAGCCCCTAGTAGCGTCCTTGCTCCTAGTAGCGATGCCCTTTGCTCCTATTGAAGGGTGAACCATGGTAAATCTATATCCTTGCCAGAAAGTCTTGCGCCGAACAATTCTAACTGGATGCACGCCCTCGAGGCCTAGAAGGTGACGCAGATGCTGAGCCCACGCACCCGGCGATCATGGCACTCCTCCAAAAGCTCAAGGCAGAACACTACCTGTTGCGTTCAATTTTTGAATCTATATATATAGATGATGTCGGTATGTGACGGTATGTGTTCATTTCAAGGCTGAAGGCCAAAAACTGCCGTGGAAATCCCACTCATGTTTCTTGGTCATGTTTCTCCATTGATCGCAGTTTAACCCGATTGCGCCGCTTTGGTCAGGACGTTCGGATCTTCGAGCTGCTACTTGGCTTATGACACAGTGAGTATGCGCATATCGCATCATATCGCCAGATTGCTCTTGTCACTTAGTATATAGACCTTAGTAGCAATGGCCTTCTTTTTCCTAAGTGTGAGGTTCCGGACCTTTGATAGAGATGGAGATGGTTTTTGGTCACCTTCGGAGTTGCGCTTTTTGGCGGCACTTGACTTGCTTTCAAGAAATAAGTTCTCAGTTTCACAAAATGTTGCAGCAAGGATTTTGAACTGCATTTGCTTGACAAACAACTGTACATACGTTACATATAGACATGTATAAATATATGTACGTGTTTGTGTAGAACAATTATGCATTTGTGACTATGTGCGTGCAACCGCATATGTGGCATATACAACCACAGCAGTGTTTGTTCACTTATGCATCATTGCTGTGGAAATCATTGCTGTGCATTACGCATCGCCACTGAGGGAATGCCCTACATAGCACAGGCCATGAAGTGAACACCGAAGACGTTAATGCGGTAATGGAGTTGACACTGGGGCTCAAAAAGCACGATAATGCACTCCAAAAAGCATTGTCGTGGTCAATGTTTATTCATGTTTATTCTGTATCCCCTTGTTGTCTCAATATATTATTCCGATCTAAATAATATGATGTTATTTGATTTTATCATATTTTATCTATTATGGGTTTGTGGGAAAGGTTCAACCGTGAGAGGCACTTGCCGTAGAGATCGGAGTGGCCAAGGATGGATTCCAACCACAACGGTTTCATTGTCCTCACCTCAGATGTGGTCGTACTGTAGTAGGCTGGCGGCATGCAACGGTGCACAGATTGAGAGCCAGGCACTGAATGGCACATGAACGCATAGTCAAGTTGCCCAGTAGCGCAGTAGCAAGCATATAGTAATACTACTGAGGATGTGAAGGAGCTTGCACGCGCCCTGCATCGAGCAAAATCGAGAGCCAACCAAAACAGCCCAGGGAGCGAAGAAACTTCGGAGTTCTTCGGCTCAAAAAGGGGGTTTAATAATGGGCAACTGGGAATCCATGGTGTCCATTAGGCCCTAGGCAGGCAATAGACCTTCGATGGTCCTGCCTTTAAATTCGGCCACCACTTGGACATTGGAGGCTTGCGGCATCTTGCGGCAAGTACTTGCACAGGGCACACTCGACGGTTTGCTTTGGCAGGAATTGTGGACCAGAAACGCCGGTGGTTTCTTCATGTTCCTTCTCCCAACGCGGTCCGTATGGGAAGTGGCAGAGGCTGTGTCACTGTAGGGAGCTTGGCTCAATGAGTTAGAATGAGACTGTGTTGGTGTACAATACACTTCATCGAAGTACAAAGCAACTTGCTATAACTGCTGAATTGCTGCATTTTCCCGCCCCGTCCGCCAATGAAAAGCCTTGAACTATCTTGAACTAAGATTGGCGCCGACCCCAGGTTAGACTTTACCAATACCTTGCAAGAGATTGCTGCTACCGCTGCACCTTGGGCCTTGGGATTGACTGTTGGGAAGTTTCGAGAAATGGTCAGTTGAACTTGGGACCTGGGATTGCTTCGTCCTTCGGAATGGTCAGAGGATTTGTAGAGACATCACCTGCCAGCAGGGGGGTCGTGCTTTGGAATGATTGGTGAAGTGGAGACTCCTACACAGACACATCCTTTCTTGAAGGCTGATGCCACAAGCATCAACATTCCTATCATTCCTTTTGCAACCATAAAGTTATAAATATATGATATGCACCAACAGTGGGATTGCCAGCTGCTAGAGGCACTCTCAGGCTTGACCCTAACCTTTCTTTCGCAATAATGTTCAGGAATCGCAGTCTTTGATATATACTGAGTGAGTCCGAGTCAAGGCCTTAGTTGCCATCTACGAGCGCCTGGAGCACAACAAGCTTAGAACCACAGATTTTCTTCAGCTTTTCAACCGCCACTGTGGCTGCAAGATAGCTATGTTGATAGAGAGGCCTGTCGGCGACAGAAGGCAGCATGCTCCTAGATACAGATGATATAGTCAGGCATTTCCGATCAAGCGCCTAACGAAGTAGGCGGGGAGGACTTTGATCAAATCCTACCCCACAATGGTTTATAAGGCATTCCAAGATGAGTTGCTTGCACGGATTGCCTGACTGAGGAAGTAGTGAAGAGTATTTGATGCCTGCCGAGCTTCAGACAGGCCGCACGCTATTGTATTGTTTTCTGGTTTGCAGTGTGCAGCTGTTCCGAGAGACGTGTTCCAATAGAATCCTGGAACGTGGGACTGAACAACATCATGATCGAATAGAGGAGATGCTTCTTCAGTGAGGACACGAGAAGCGAATTTAAAGATCTTTATCCAGTGAGTCTAGTTGTGTTTGTTGGAGTCTTTTTGTTTGAGATTCATGCTTAACTGCGCAGTAATGCGGAGGAACTGAACTCTTTGCCCTCAGGATTGCAGCAAATTGGCTACGAGATCAGCCAGCAGGAACTGAACGCGCTTCTTTTCGTCTTAGACGTCGATCGAGTCATGGCCGAGAACTGTGGTGGCGGAGCTGTGAATTCTGTCTCGGATTTTTTCTTGGCATAAATGGCTCCAGGCGATGTGTCACGACAACAACGAACATGTCCACACTTTCTATCACTTTCTCAGTGATCAGTCAACGATAGGTAAATATGCCTCTAAACGGGTCAAGGGAGGCATCTTGCATCCTTTGCCCCCCCACAGCACTCGATTGAGTCATGAGAGGGCTTTTTGGAGACCTTGCAGTATACCATAGTGTCAAGTTGTATACTGTACATAAGTATAATTACCGATAAATACTGCATAGATTTGCATGTGCAGAGATGCAGAATTGTTCTTCCTAGTTGATTCCGGCACTGGTGCCACAAGTAGTGTGTAGAAGCTTTGAAGACCCGACCCCGGTGTGAGCATCAAATCCATTAACATCGCATCCATCCAAGGGCTGGGCATGTTGAACATCAAGGAGTTCGAGCGCCGTGTGAAGTCAGCCGCGCGGGAGGCACTGGAGGCAGCTGCCCTCCGCTTGGCACAGGCAGCTTGACCAAGACAAAGGGAGTCATTCCAGGTTTAATTGATCCCGATTGAAATTTCCTCTATGGGATCAGGTACTGAAACGAACCCTTTTATAGTAACAATTTATTGCTTATAACTGTCCGTGAGCTTCTTCATGGTCACATGGGGGGTGATTTTATACTGATGTATTCTTGCTTTAACCTTGATGGAAGTTGAACCAAGAAAGCCTAAACTAGGCCTGTTGTGGCTTGATCACGTTCTATGAGGTCAAAGAAGGTGCTACTTGTTTAGAGCCAGGTCTAGTAAGAAGTACAAGAATTGCTTGTTTCATCTCTTTGCCATGCTGACGATTTTCTTGGTTTAGCCTTGATGCTCAACGAAGACTTTAATGGATGATGATGTTGATGAAAACAACAAAAATATTTGGGTGATCCTGGATGGGCATAGAGAAGGCATGCAACAAACAGATCTCAAACTCAAGGACGTGGAACAAAAACTTATGATTTTCCAGTTGAAATTAGCTTTCACTGCCGAGATGGGTGTACAGTCGACGAGTCGTGACATGTTGAGATCAGGTCTTCGCATTTCTTTGGGAAGTCAGATCTGAAATGACTTGAAGTTTCTGTAAGGGGATGATGAATCAAACGATGCATATTGCAACATACCAGCACCAATCCAAAGCAGAGAAAGATGAGCCTCACTCTTTTCGCTTGGATTTCTTTGCATCAAGCTTGCAAGTTGTCGGATGTGGACACGAAGGATCTGAAACGGTAATCGGAAACAACTTTGTCCACTTTAGAATCAGATGATTGTTTGGTTTATTGGTGTTATGTGTTCTTGTCGGAGATGGGGGGTGTGATTCTTAAGCTATCGTATTTTTTCCGATCAATCTCCGTTATGTTCCCATTCCGACTGAGGGGGTTACATTTTATAGTGATGTCGTTTTTCCAGGATTGAGATTTTATAAGGATTTGTGTGTCCCGGAGCTGGGGGTAGCCGTTTTATACTATAGAATGGGTGCACCTCAGTGAACATATGAATTTCATTGAAGTTCAAAGGGGATCTTAATTGAATGGAATGGGTTTGGGCAAAGAGCAAACTGGAATAGGTCGAAGTGGGCGTACTTGATCAATAGTGAATGCAAAGTTGGTTGACATTCTTGGCAAGGAACAGATGGGAACAGTGGTGCATAAATGCATCTCCGGCTAGCCAAGATGTAGCTGGAGCATGGCCTCCTTCGATGGGGCCTTTCGCGCAAAACTTTTTTTGCAACATAAAGTGCAAAGGCTGTTGTCTAAGGACAGTCCGACTGACACCTCCGTGGTTGACATTCTGACCAAAGTGAATGCAGCATTGCACTCTGGAAAGCTGACAGAACCTCGCATCAAATTGATTGGCCAGAAAGCATAGTTTTTGCTGTGGATTTGTGAGGGCAGATGCGCATCAAGCAACAGTCCATTTGAATGCCATTTGTCAGGTCTATGGGCGGAAAATTTATGATGCACACGGTGGCAAAGCTGCATAGGAGTGCCTGAGCCCGGTTGCTACAACTTCCCCCACGTGCTGGCTGGTACACAATTCGGCGATCATTATGTAGCGGGGCACGTTCGATACTTTGCCTCAGAGGGTCCTTCTACAAACATGTGTTGCAGGTCCTGAGCACAAGCAACAGGTCAGAGCTTTGGATGCTTCAAAAACAATGTGGAGTAGCTGCAACTGGAAGGCAAAGCTACAGTCCTAGGCCAAGAATTTGCTCTTGCTTTGGCTTCCTTGTGAGGTTTCTTCAAGGCCATTGACAAAGATGGCAGCGGGTCGTTGGACCCTCCAGAGCTCCAGCGTGGCTTTCGGCGCTTGGGTGTAGAATTGCTACTTGGTTGCGACCAGGCTGGTGCTCCACGACAGCAGCGAATGCAGCCAACGCCTCTTTAAGAACTACTAGTGGCTTCTTGTTACTACAGGTGAAACGATTCCAAGTGAACCGATTCCCGAGGAAGCTTCTAGCTCCTAGTAGCGATGCCCTTTGTTACTAGTAGCGTCCTCTTGTTCCCAGTGCTTGGCCCATCTTGGCCCCGCCACGGTGGGCATTTGGGTGGGTCCTTGGGCGGGCGGGTTGCGATTCCACCGGGCGAGTCCTTCCAATCCTTTGTGCCCAGGTCGGACCAGCTGTTATTGCAGCTCAGCGAAGCCATCGACACCAACGAAAACGGCAAAATTGAAGCCTGGCCGTGGTTGCGTGGGTAGGGAAAGGCAGCTTTGTAAGTACTTCTCGGCGGATGTGGTGTTCGCATCAATGATGTCTTAATTTCTAGAGAAACACTCACTCAAGGAGGATCATTGAGGCAAATCATGATGCTGAGAGGCAAAGATCATGCTCCGTGACTGTACTTGAAGCTGAGGAGCTGGATGAATTCATCCGTGCCCTGCACAACCCCAAGAGCAGCTGAGACAAAACGAAGGAGTGGCCCACAGTAGCCCCCAGTCATGTGAACATTTTTCCACACAGAGGTTGATAATGCTTGATAGATTTGTCATCAATGAGCAGCACCGCTTGCATCTTGCATGTGTGTGGTGACCACGAAAATCCAATAAATCTTTGAGAAACATGCAAAATAAGATAAGCAGTTTCCATTTCGGGATGTTCTTTATATGGTTGATTTTGCACCAGTCTTTTGTACTGCACATGTGGGTTTCAGTGCCCCACTGCAACTGATAGCGTTGGTGGCAGCATGGCTGTTACGACTATCGTGGACGTACCATTGTGTGCCAACCGTGCAAGTGACCACAAGGACACCAACAGCATGGAATAGATGGTTTACAGTTTACAGTCACACCTGGCAATCATTGTGCAGCAGGAGATGGAACCACAGCATGCGGTGGAATAGTTTGGACTGACAAGACGGAGGACACGAGTCCAGGTCACGTGTCCCTGCGAGGTAAGGGTGGCTTTGACGCAGCCCTGCTTTGTTCCCTCCTTGTCGTTGTGTGTCCTGTGACCCAGGTATGCAGAAGAGACCAAGCTCCTTGGCCCTTGCAAAGTTAAATTATCGCGCAGGTATTCGACATTTGGACGCCATTCATTTCCTTTTTGAGCACCTGTTTCCCTTTTGGGCGACCTACTCGCAGTTTGCTAGATATCCAAGGTGTGACCAAAGCTCCCGGAGCTGCTTCGAGGTCCCGGTCTTCCAGCCAGCAGCCATCAGGCGGCGGGACCAGGTTCTGTGCAAAGGAAATGGAGCTCCAAGGTTTTCATTTGGCAAGAGCCAGCGAGTACATATCATGATACTCAAGCGGGCATGATGAATGATGGGTTTGCTGATTTCAAGGGAGGAGCTTTGTGAGAGCAATGTCTTGTGCATGTTTTTGTTCTTTGTTGCTGGCTTCATTCTGAATCACGGCCTCCGGGGCGACAGGATTTTCATGTGTGCCAGTATGCTGCAACACAGCTGACTGCTGCCATAACAGGCGGCCGTTTGTCAATTCCAGCCACTCCAAAAGAGGCCTGGGCACAGTGACGAATCTTTGGTTGAGACAGTTGAGACTTTGATGAAAGTGCTGCCTTCTCTCGTGCTCGAAGATTGCAAACTACCCACCGCTGCAAGCCAGAAACAGTAAGGGGAAAGCATAGCAACCAACAACTGAAGATTTCATGAAACAACTGCAGGCACGCACCAACCACGCACAAGTCGTCGCTGAGGCAGAGCATCCTAGCTCACAGCGGAGCCGAAGCCCTTTCGGCCGGAAGCCTTGTTGTATGGCATTGGGCCCTCACGTTACATGCTAGGGGCAGCCGGTGCTACTCCCACCACATTCTACCACCACTTCTCGTGTTTCCATGAAATGTCAATTGCAAATGGCTTGATATTATGTTTCCTCAGGTCCTGTCAGCAGCCGCAGGCAGTCACTGGAAGACGCTGGGCCCCAACGCAGCTCTATTGCGGAGGGTCGTGCAAGGATAAGAGCCAGATGCAGCTTATTCAACGTTTTGTATAGTTGATTCAATCATGTGGCTTTGGAAGCAAAACCAGCACTGATGTTCAGGCTGATTCAATTCATGCTGGCCTGAAGCCTGAATTCATAGCATCCATTGTCTTGCAGGACCAGCCAACGCAGCTCTAGCCCCAGGCATGTTCCATGAATATTGAAACGAGTGGGTTTTCCATGCTGCTTCTTTGGTCAAGCCCTGTTGCGAATGCCAAGAACATTTTTCTTGACTCTTGCTGGGTTTCATGATTTCATAATGGCTGAAATATGTTTAAATGCAGATGCAGTGCTATCATGGTCCAACGAAAAGGAATGACTTTGGCCTTGCCTCCTCATTGGCCAGGATTGTTCAGACTACCCGAGGAAGTCTAAGCAATAGCCCTCGCCCAAGGACAGTTCGTGCCATGTTCGCCCATCTCGATTTGTTCGGCACGACATTGGATGAGAGAATGAGAGGCTAAAGTTGTTGAAAAAATGGTAGACCAACAGTGACCAACACTCCAAGCCATTGCCAAGCCCAGGACATGGTGATGTTTCAAACAATTCAGTCATCCTTGTGCTCTCATGATTGTTTTGGCCAAACCTTCGGTGGCTCGCAAGAGATGAGTTGGGTTTGGAAAAGCTTCAATCATCCACACAACCACCTTTGTAATGTAACTGCGTGAGCTTTGGAAACACGATGAACCAGATGTGTGCCAATTCAATCAGCAGCCAGTGTCATGCAGCCACGTTCATCCCAGCATGGTTCCTTCAGGACTTCCCTCAAAGAGACGGCTGACAAGAAGGATGAAAGGAAAGACGATGGAGGCCTCGGGCTTGTGGACTTGAGCTTGCAAGATTTGAGTTTGCACTAGTAACAAGAAGCAAAGGGCATCGCTACTAGGAGCAAGGACGCTACTAGGGCTCCTGGCCGTACTACCAGGAGCATTCTTGCTACTAGTAACAAAGAAGCTACTAGTAGCAAAGGGCATTTCTACTAGTAGCAAGGGCGCTACTAGGTGGAGGCCATCGCTACTAGGGTGGAGGCCATTACTACTAGTAACAAGAAGCTCCGGGTGCCCAATCCTATTGCATCCTATTGCGCAAGATGTGGCCGGACAATGTTGGACCTGGAACTTCCAGCCAGGTGAGAAGGCGGTTGATGCGATGGGGGCTTTGCGATTGATTTACGAACACATGGAGAAGAAACGGCTCAGAACCATTGAAGCTCGACAGTTGGAGTCAATCCTTCTTCATCCTCGTGTCATGTTTTTTATCATTGTGATAGTCGACGTGGTTCAATGTTATTCATAGTCGTTGATTGCAGGTTTAGTCGTGATTTTGTGCTGGGGGTCGACGGCCGCCACCTGCCAAGTCTCAGGACTTGTTCCGCCGCTTTGACCAGAGCACCTCGACCAATTGGAAAGGCTAGCGTTTTGAACTTGTGAAAGCCCTGCACAGCTCACAAAACCTTAAGAGTTGTCATTGTTTGGGGCAGATGAGTGGACTAACTCCACATTGTCCAGGCACTTCCGTGACCCAAGAATCAGGTCCATCGCATCCTGCTTTTTGCGCATTCACCATCATTCACTCTTGAGGTGATGACGGATCGATCACCAGAAGCGAACTTCGGAAGGGTTTGGAAGAAATCGGCGTGGAGATCGATCCTGCCTCGTTCAAGTCATTGGTTGGCAACTTGGATAATTTGTGTGCTGTACATGTCTCAGCTTAGTAGCTGAAAAGCACCCTGAGACGTCGCTGAATTGCATGAATCCAGCTTGTGCACATCATGTATGTATTTATATCTCTCCATGCTTTGACGTTTTGACGCTGCTTGGCCAAGCCCGGCATTGCGTCCAGCCTTGTTATTGAGTTGAAACCGAGGCCATCTTGATCGCTTCTTATCTGAAAGATGTTCTTTGAAAGACTCTCCTGCTCAAGCATTCGCTGTGCTTAAACCAAAGCGTCCTTCCAGTCAGGCATTTTCTGGGATTGAGCCCAGGAGACAGTGGAGGCACAATTAACCTGAAGGAGTTGGACAGGGGCATCAAGGAGGCAGTTCGAGAAAAGGTCAAGGACTGCGGCGTTTTTTGCTAAAGATCTTTGACTGTCACGTCTCTTTCTGCCGGCTATATCAGCCCCGCGGTCATCTCCTAACATGACCATTAGGTTCAGTGCAGAACACTTTCATTTGCATACAAGCTAGAGACACACACACAGCATGAATTGTTCACCGTTTGGTCAGTCATTGCTCGTCAAAGTTGCCGTGCCGTGGAGCTGGAGTTCGTCGGGAAACGTGGCCGTTTCGTCGACCATGATGTGGCGCCAAAAACGTTGGCATGCAAAAGTATTCAAGGCAGAAAGACTTTGCATTAATCATTAATCGGTTTTGATTGGACAGGCAGCATGTGCACCTGATGTGTGCAATCGTATAACATAGCATGATCCAAACAGACATTTCGCAATTGCGACACATTGACACAATTAATTTGGGAGAAGACATACCCTTCTTTGCAGGATACTCGGATTGACCCAGAAAGGTTCGTGGAGTATGCGCTGCTGAAAGAGATCAACCAAAGACTTTTCTCAGGCCCGACGAGTTGAAAGCAGAAATGATGTGCGGTGTGGCAGGTAGAGTATCTACAAGACAAACCTACAATCAGAACCACTCAATAGTAATGTTCTTTTCGGAAGGTGCATGGTTTTATAACATGTTATGGTGTTCTATTCTCTTAAATGTGGCCCATGGGACTTGGCGTGGGCAGGAACCCAAATGGTTTTCGGCAATCGCGTCACAGACAGCCGCAGTTTCTTCAGAGCCATTGACAAGGACAACAGCGACTGGGCACGCAAGGAAGACGGACTGAACCAACCCCAGGCATCGCCTGGTTGATGGCTCTTGAAACTCCTGCACGAAACAACTGGTCGTTGCAGAAGCATACTTGTACCTCCGGGCATTTAGGGCACCTTCCGCCTGCCACCAGATTCAGCTACTCATTCTTTACAAGACGGGAACATTCATGTATTTGCTCATTTTTCCACGCCGGGTGCGTTGTGCTTTTGAGTCTTGGATGTGGAAGTTGGAGGCCCTTTTCGATTTGGGCCACTGTGTTTGCCCCTTTAAGCAACTCTAGAAGCTTCTTGAATCAGTTGAAAAGTACGGACTGTTTGCTGTTTAACTGGGGACGAAACCTGGATCCACAAATTAACTCAGCGGAGGTGGGGAGCTCGACGCAATGGAGCTGGCGCAAGGGCTATTGAAGTTGGGTATCTCAGTGTCTTGGATACAAAGAAGATGGAGGTCAGGGTCAGGCCAGAGAGTCTGGAGTCTTGAAGAGCTAGGATGACTGGCTGGACTACTTGTAGGAACCGATCCTTTCTGCCTCTCAGAAACTTCCATGTGCTGGACAATTTTGAGAGGGGGGGATCTTGGGGGTGGTAGAAGCTGCTAGAATCCTAGAAGTGGCACCTATATAGCCAGATGATCAACATTTGGCATGTCCAGTTCGCAGTGGCTTTGGAGTTGCTGTAGCCTCGTTCTTGTTGATACAGTGGACTAGCGAGACTAGATGGGTTCAGCTGAGCTCAGGATGCCTGCTGCAGCTCGTCTATTGAATCATGTTTAGACTGCTGAGGTCGAAAGCGAAGATATGATGAAAGAGGTGGTGAGTTGCATTGCTCCTTGACGCACTGCATAGTTTGACCTATGTATATAGAGGATTGTGGAGGTATTTAGACATGGTGTGTGAAAGTGATTGCAAGCCATGATATACCAGCCGCTCGGATGGATGAATGAGCAAAAGTCCAAAGCTGTCAAAGATCCAGCTGCATGTTGTGACTTGGTCCCCACTTAATCCACAGCATTAGCTCCAGGATTCTGACATTTATATCATGAGTTGTTTTTCAGGACAAGAATGCAAGTGGACTGATCGACAAGGAGGAATTCGTGAAGGCTTTGCAAAACCCGGAGGAGCTCTTGGCCAGCCCTGAAGCGAAGCCCAAGGAGACCACCTGAGAGCACTGGTGATTGTGGGAGTGCAGGGACTTGGATGCGTTTTGTGCTGAGCCTTTTGTGGAAATGTATGCGGCATGCGTTATAATAGAATTCATAGGTGTAAGTTTGTTCATGATGGATGCTTAATTTAATCATTTCAGCATCCTTTGGACATTACACTTGAAGAAATAGACACGAGCACACTAGATTTCAAAGGGGTTGCTTTTGCAATTCAGTGAAGATCAAATGCATGCAGGAGCGTCCTGTTGTTCAACCCGGCAGTGAAGAAGATGCCACTAAAGCACTTGCCGCCATTCATGAGCAGCTCTCAACATCCAAGAGCCTCGGGTGCCAAAAAATCAACATGTCCAAGACTTTTGCTTTGAGTGTTGACGGTGCAGAGTTATTCTGTTGAGATGAATGCCTTTAGTCCTATCGTGCCCACATAGTATACCTTTGGGTGTGAAATCGTTTGTGAAAGGCGTCCGGGTGCAGTCCAGCTACATTAGGGCCTCAATTGCCTTACATATTGCATCATATGGCTGGGACCTGTCCAAGCATACAAGTCGGAGCAGTGTCCCACTGTGTTTTTCATAGTCTTGAATCTTGAATATATTGCATGATCTCCTGCTAGGCTGTGTCCCATGATGATACTGTAGCTGTTTGAAACAGTGCTAAGACAAGCAAACTTGTTGTTTGGTGCCGGTGGCCACAAAATGCTTTTAAAATTCAAGTATCTCTCATGACCCTCCAGGGAATGGTGTTTCCATGGGTTTTGCTAAGATTTGAGTGACTTCTCGCGGAGATGAATGACTTTATGTGGACGTGACATGACTTAACAACGCCACCAAGTAGGTGTGCTTGGTGATGCTATTGAACTAGTGTCAGTCTCAATCTACTTGACAGGACCCGCACGACGGATTGGTTCTACAGGATGGACACCAGTCGAGATGGTAAAATCTCAAGAGCAGAACTGAAGAAAGGGCTGAAGGAGATGGGCTGCAATTTGAATGCCTCAGACTTGAAAGCAGTTTCTAGGCGGCATTGGTTCAGTTGTTGCCTGTTCAAGTTAAGCCTTTGCATTTGTGTTGGACTTTCATGTCCAGGTCCTGCTATACCTTGACAAAGATGACTCTGGTAGCATCAGCCTTCAAGAGCTTCAGAAAGGCTCCTTTCATAGCATGGTTTGTTTTGATAGGTTTTAACTTGGTGTACAACCTTGCACACTTGCATTTACAAGCTTCACAGTCCATAGGTCAACGTCTCAGAAGCAAACGTCCCTCCACCAGGTATGAATCGAGCTGTGAGAGCTGTGGCAGAGGCTGCGAGCAAGCTGGAGCCAGTGGTCGAGGGCCCTGCCAAAAATGTTTACGAAGCACTCCTATTGATCAATGCAGCCTTGAGACCCTCAGCTGCTTTCATGAAACCCGATAGGTTTGCACCTTTTGTTCCACATTCGGCTTCAGCGTTGCCAGATTGTGGTACGGAGAGCGGTGCTTGCGCTTTCTCGCTGAGCACGGGCCGAGGAAGCAACACCCAATTGATCTTCGGGCTGCGGGTCACCGACGGCCGTAGCTTCTTCAAAGCAATGGACCGAGATAGCAGCGGCACATTGGATCCACCGGAGGTGGCTCGGGGCTTCAAAAGACTGGGCGTGGAAGTATCTGAGACATTGCTCGACGAGATCGTGGTGGCCGTAGATGTCAACAAGAACGGGATGATTGAAACTTGGCCAGAGCGCGGGTTGGGCTTCGCGGTTTAACATGTAGGCTAAGCAACTAGCAATGTTGGTGTATGTGGAGTTTTGCCCAAAGCGTTCAACGTAGACACAAGACTTGCTAGATTCAAATCCCTGCCAAACGCAAGGAAATGAGCGAATTGCTCCATGCTTTGAAGCTTCCACAAGACATCGCAGCAGAAACTCCCCCACCTGAAGCGGAAGCTGATAAGGAGAAGGAGGCTTTTGGTGAGGCTCCTGGTGAGTCTTCTGGTGAGCCTCCGGGTAAGGCTCCTGAAGAAAAGGCCACAGAGCCAGAAGCAGCGGCTGAGGAAATGGACAGCCCAGATGTTCTGATGACAGCTAAAGCTGTGGCAAGTCCGTCTCCAAGCCGCAGGGCTTCTGCACAGTCGGAAAAGATCAGCACTATCCCTGAAGAAGGTGAGCATCAGCCTGTGGATCCGGTGGAGCCGGTGGAGGAGCCTGAGAAGTTCACTGAGAAGCCTCGCGTGTCAGGATCTAGCATAAAGTCTGGCAAAGTTGATATGGCACAGCAGGTGAGGCAGTCCACAACAGCAACACGAAAATCTCAGGCAACTGGCCGTGGAGGGAGCCCTAGTCAGGGTGCAGGAAACCCTTTCAAGAGAGCATCGAGGGCAGCAGGCAGCAGCGCGCCTGCAGCACGCAACTTGTCAAAAAGGAGCGCAAAAGCCAAGTACATCCCAGTACCCATTTAACATAAAAGGTGGAAGTCGACACCTGTAGAGAAATAATGAGAATATGGGATGATATGGGATGCATCCTGCTAACATTCGGACAAACCTCCATCAGAAGTTCAAGGTGTTTACACCCAGTTTCCAACACAGCGGCTTTCCTATCCTTCCCTAGGCAGAGGCACCCAGCTCAACACCCGCGCCACGCTCAACCGGGGCTCGCCATCGCCACGGCCAAGCAGAGCCACCACCATGGGAAGGACCACAGTGACCAACAGGTAGTTTCAGCTTCAGCGGCTTGGTGGCAAACAGGCAAATTTGTGTCCCACCGTTGACAAATGAAAGCAGATTCTGCAAACCTCATTCTTTGACCAAGGTTAGGACTTCAGCCATTGCAAAACTGCAAAGGCATGTGGAGTTTGATGTGGGACTCCAACCAAATGGCTCAACGCGAGTGCAATTCTAGAATTCTAGAGTGCAATTGCATCACTGTGTTCTTTCTTGTTGCAGTCCTACGCTTTGAGCCATTGGTGGGTCTAGACACCGATAACGCAGCTCGCATATTGCGGCACGCTGTCTCCAAGCTGTTAGACTGGCCCAATATTGTCCACAAGTTCTTGCGTTCACTGATAAACTTGATATTGACAAATTTTGAAACATGTGTTTTTGTTGAAAGATGTTCAACCGGCCGTTTGATCAAGAGAGGTTGAAAGTTGAAAGTGTTTTGAATGCATTTACACTTGTTTGGATACAGATGTAGTGGCAGGTATTGCAATGAACTGACATGTTTCGAAGGAAATTGCTGCAAACACACACTCATATAACTCTTTATGCAGAGGTTTGACTGGCTTGGTTTGTGACGCATGTTTCACACGTCGGCGTTACGCTTTCGAGATTAGCTACATGCACAACCTAGCACCTTGCCCTTCACATTGACTAAAAAAGCCTAACTCGTATATAAGTGATTTCCAGGTTGATGTGTGTAACCTGGGCCCGGGCAATGTTGAACACGATAGCAGCAGAAGGGCAAGGGTGTTTGCTTGTGTGGGTAGCTGGTCCCCGTGGCATGCCAAAGTCCAACAAAAGGAACTGATGCATAGCATTCGACATTGTGGTCAGAGAAAGGCCCCCCAAACCGAATCCAACTCGCAATCTGTGTGTGATGCTTTAGAAGCTGCACTCAATAACTGCGGACACTGCACTTTTGCACGGTTGACAGATGTTGACAGTTTGGGCACGTGTTGGAGTTGCCTAAAGATGCTGAGTTGCCCAAGTTGTCCTGCAAGGCTTGGTGATTTGTTTACGCTCGTGGATCCTCCGCTGGATGTGCAGTACACATCTCGGTGCTAGGGAGCGATGAATGCATGTTTGCGTTGTGCTGCTGAATGCTGTGCAGTGCAACTATGTATATACACTACTAGTTTTGCAGTAGGGTTTGTCCATGCTGGGTGCTTTGCGAGGCCAGTGGTGCAGCAACTGAGGGTTAGAGCCCCAGACCAGTCGCAACATGCATTGACACAAGAGACTTACTTTCAACCAGGCGCCCATGCTTGGGGGCATTGTTTCATTATATATTGAATGATTGAAATTGCTATAGTTTCTTATCCATGTACTTCAGTCTAGTTGCTCCAAATGAATAGGTACGAGTTTGGACCGGAGGAATGTTGACCAGTTCTGCAGAGCGCATGGAGAAAGCGGGGAGTTTGGCTCTCATCAGGTTCAGGTGACGAGGACATCAAAGGACGGGGATCGCTTCAAGGTGCCCTAGAAGTCTGCAGTGTCGGGAGGGGTGCCCTGCACTTGTCCCATTTTGTTCATACAAGTCTCTTATAATGTTTAACACTTGAGGCGCTTGCATTGTGAGGAACCAGAAAGATTCCATGAAACACAGAGGCATGGCCGGGCATGGGGATGCGGTGGTACTTTCAGTTTGCGCTCGAGGTGCTCGAAGCTTTGCACCTGGAAAAGCGCAGCCTCCCACCTGATGCACCACACGTTTTGCTGGAGACGGCGTCGATGATGGGCCTTGCTGTGCTCAGCGTGGGATTTTTTTTGCCTGGCTCAGGAGTGTTTGTTATGTATGATTGTTTTTCCTTCATGCTATCACGCAGCTCATTCAGTATACAGCAAGGGCGCTCCACCAGCTGAACGGAATGCTGTGGGGAGATGTTGTTTGGGTTTTTATATGTCGGTCCAGTAGAGGTCACGACCCCTCTTTCAGGCTGGTTGCCCTATATTTGGTTATTTGTACATTTTTCCTACGAGTGGAAAAGACTTAGGGTACTTACCAGACAAACGAGCAATCAGAGAGACAATCAACTCGACTGGAGCTCAAAATCCATACAAAGCGATTGCTCATCCAAATGTATAACCACTGTTTTTACGATATTTATATGCAAAACTGATCAAACATGTATATCTGTGTCTTGCATGAACATATGCAGAGGCACCTGATGCGGGACCTTGAAAGGCTTTGCGGGGAACTTTCTCATGGATGCGCTTGAGGAGGGTAAGCATGGAGCGATGAACACCCCCAAAATGATAGTATATATTACAGTATATAGTATATAGTATTGTCATTACTCTTTTGATCACAGCAATGCAAACAAAAGGTATTTTGGTACTTAGGGTGAGTGGTGACCCACTTTTGCTGTCACATAGACCGGCGTAGGCCAGACCCAGCACCTTTCAAATAAAGAATGAGAACAAAGCAGCACGCAGCAAGAAAAATTGGCCAAAATATATATGTATGCAAAGCATCACCAATTGGATGATGATAGCGAGCCATTGTTTGCATGCAGCATGCTATTCGACTGCTAGGAGCCAAAGAAGCGCTCCTTGGCAGTGAAGACTTGTCGACTGTTACTAGCGGCAGCTGCTGGCGAAGTGGACGCGCATTGCCCCGGTGTTCTCAAGCAGTTGGACTGTAAGCAAGCGGAAGGGATCGCAAAGTATGATCACTCATCCATTGAACACAGTGACAAGTGTCTTGCAACATGATTGTCGATTGTAGATCATCAGAATGATCATTGGATCTAAACTCTTTTTGGACTGGCCAACCGTGGATCTCAGGCTTTCAGACTTTCTTGGGCTTTGGCGGCTCATTCACTGAATCCTCTGCAGACTTGCTGCAGCGAATGTCTCCTGGCATGCAGGTCCGCGTCGTGGTGTCGGTCGAGCGGACCAAGTCTCATTCGATTCGTTGGAGCTTCCAGGACCGAGTCCTGGACGCATACTTTAGCCAGGACATATTATGGGATGGCCACGCATTTGGTGCGAACACCCGGGCATTTGGTGATGAGTCGATTCAGTGTTCCGGGTGACCAGGGTGTTGTTTTCTTTTTTGGGGTGGGGCATTGTTCAAGCCGATATTTGTTTGCTAATCCCTGGCATGATGCATTTCTGCCCACCATGGCATTTGCTACGGTGTGATGCTTCGTGAGGAGAAAGGACTTGCCTACTCCTGGGGTCGTTTGCACATGGGCCGCTGCCTTACCTGCTTTGACCCTGTTGTCCCTTCGTGTTCTCCTGCGAAGTCGTGTTGAAATCATAAGTATTATTACATTGTATTAGAACGTTGGCCTTTTTTGTGAGTGGACAACTTCCTGAAACTGGACACTGTATCGACAGTACATGCAGAGTCAAACTCAGCTCCAAAACCACCAGAAGAAAGCAACCAAAGTGACATCGGCACAAAACAGTGCTCAACGGCACAGAAAGTGAAGATCCAACATCAAGATCCCCAAACTTGGCATTAAGAAATTCTGAAGTTCAACTGCTTTCTTGCAGGGCATCCTCAACAAAAAGTCCGTAGGATTGCTTTTCCCAAGCAGTCTTGCAACGTTTAGTTTCATGGTACAAACGCTTGGCACAAGCGACCCTTGGACCCTTGCAAGTGCAGTTTGAGTTCAGCAGTGCACTGACTTTCCAGTGGCTGCTTCCGGAAACACATGGGTTGCAAATCATAATTCCATCAAAGCCGAGGCTCCTGTGATTTTTCGAGGCGCAAGGAACTTCGGTGTTCTGAAAACCATTTACAAAAGGTACTTGACTTGGGGCTCCATTTAGAATACGCTACTAGGGGCTCCTGGCATCGCTACTAGGAGCGAATACGCTACTAGGGGCTCCTGGTAGGTTCAGTTTGGACTGGAGAGGTCACCAATGAGTGCCCACGGGCAGGGGAAACTGGAGTTGCGTCGGTGAAAATGCCAGGGCCACAGTCCTGCTGCTGGGTGTGTGAACAATCTCCGGCATGGCCTTGTTGTTGTGATGTGGGTGCTCATTATGTTGCGGCATGTTGCATTTTCATTTTGATGATGCGCTCATTATGCACAATGTGCTCCAGTCCTATTTTAGTGACTTACCTTGTGCCCTGTCATTTTCAAGCATTTGCCGAACTCCAGCTTGCATTTTGCGAGCTGAGGATACCGAGCTCAAGAGTTTCACCATCCAAAGGTACAGACAAACGATTTTGCCAATGGTCCGCAAGGCACAAGTGGTCGGAAGCTCAACTTGTGGCTGGCGGCTATTGTTATGATTGTATTCCACAACGGTGTGCCAAGTGCCTCTCGCGATTTCAAGTGATGTGCTTGGATGTTGGGGGGTTTGCTCCAGCCAGGATGCAGCTGTAGGAGCCGGAGGCGCTTTGTGTGTGAGAGTTTGAATCTCACTAAGGCAGCTGCGAAGCCACTTCAACTTGTTGCCTCGCCTTGGAGCCCTCCAGCGTGGATGAAGGAGCACATGCACAAGCCGCTTATTTGTTCATGGTTGTTTCATGTTGTTTCCCGTTCTCTCACCCTTGTTCAGAAAGTCTCAGCCCCTACATTGAAGAAACTAAATGTGGTTGAAAGGTGGCTGGACTGCTGAATGCACTGTGTGATTCCTTCACTCTTCAAGCGGCATGCGACCGCATTCTTGTTAGCATTCTTGCACACATTGTCGGAAATTACAGTGGTAGTCACTGTAGTTTGTGTTTAGCACCGGCCAGGACACCCAGAAAATGCTAAATGGTGGCAGCCTCCTGCCACAGTTTAGGACGGAGACTTCGTGCAATGGCGTGCCCAGACTTCACGGCGACAGCATCCAGAAACAGCAGAATGTGTTGACTATTTATGAGGCATGTGAGCAAGTCAGTGACGCATTATGTTAGGCAACATCTAAGTGCTCAACTGTGAACGGACTTTCGAGATTGAAAGGAGCTCTTGGGCCAAGCATTTCGTTTACTTTGCGGAAGCCCTCGCAGCAGAGGGAATCCCTCTCTGGGGCTTCACTGCCTGGGAGCCAAGCTTTTGGTGCTACTGGTTGATGTTGAGTTTACGGATGTTGAATGTTACCTTTCGATGGAAAGTTGGGGCTCGTTTCTTTTCCGGCCTCACTGCCCTATTGCACCCCCCTGAGGTACAAAATGAGCCCCGAGCGTGCGATAACCTGGATTATTGTTGTGCAGATTGTGTTTGCTGAAGCAGTGTGATTTGCAGCATTCATGTGATCACAATCATTTGCCAAAGTCCGGAGGTACTTTGGACATATCTGGAGAGCACACTTTGACGGTGATATGTTATACACACTTGAAGTTATATGATATTACTTTATATATATATCATTATGCAGACTATGTGCATGGGTTTGGACCAGTTTGAGATTGAGATGAATTTAGGTTTGCATCAACCACGGCTTGCCAAGCCAGACATGGAGTTGCTTTTGTAGAGACACCTCGCACAATTGAATAGATAAGAGCAGAAGCGGTCATATTGCTTCTTTGCAAGCCATATTGAGAAAACTCTGGCACAAAAAACATTCAGAGCCGGGGTCAGCTCAGGGCCACACCATGGGAGAATTGCCTTTACACTGCAGAAGAAGAACGAGATTTTGTTCGTGATCACCTGGGACCTGCACTCCAGGTGCTGTCCCGCACAAAGTTCTGCGACTTTTTGCCGGGTTGTTGTTTGAGCTCTTTGGGTACATGTTTGGGTGTGGATTTCTGCTTCCTGTTTAGATGTTTTGGCACATAGCTTGACATTGCCGATTTCAATTTTATAGTGATGATGAGTCGTGTGAACTAGTCGTGGCAGGCCAGTGGTTTGGACTTGAAGCTGTTAATTTGGGACCACAACCGCCACTTGGTGAGACACTCGCAAGACGTTTTTATCCAGCGCTTTGTCATTGTTTGTGTAGGTATGTGTGGTGAGCTCATGTGAATTCAGTGGCTGCATTCGTATTTGCTGATGATTAGGCTATATGTTATATGCGCTGTTCCGCGCGTCAAACATGGGTGAGGATAAAGACTGATAAAGCAAATATGGTATTCAGAGAGAAACTGGCGAGCTTGAACGGGCATTCATGCACGTTACCGAATCTGGGCCACAGTGAACAGAATTTGCACTCGCTTGGCGTTCCAAGGTGACAATATGTTTGCCCGAGCGCAGCTACCTGAGCCGGCTGAGCCTACGACTTAATACGATTTATGGGTAACGTCCTGCTTCACCAAGGCATACCATTTTCAGCGACCCAGAAGCCGCCAAATTTGTTTGGGGGTTTGCTACTCAGAAGTGCAAGTGAGACTCATCATCGAGGGGCTGTTCACAATGATGGATTAATGCATGATGCATTTTGTGGGAGAACGGGCGATCACGACAGTCGTGTTTTGAACTGAGCGACCCCAGGGCACTTGACAACTCTGAAAAACTCACTCTGCGAAACTAAGACAAACTGCCTTCAAGAAACAATAATACCAGCATAGCACAGCACATTTCAAGCAACCATATATCATATAATATGATATATTATATATGTTGTGTTTTTCCATTGCCGTGTTTTTGATGTTTTTGTGCTTCCATGAAGAGTTTGTTTTCTTGGTGAACTGGTGTTTGTTCTGCTTGTTCAGTGTGTTTTGCTCATTGTTTCTCATGTCCGGCCAGTGGGGTCTGCCGCATTGACATGTTGCCTTTTTTGATGTTTTGATGTTTGGGTGGCTGGGTTGCTTGCTTGCTTGCCTGCCTGCCTGCCCGCCCGCCCGCTTGCTTGCTTGCTTGACTCGCTTCGCTTGCTTTGTTTCTTTGCTTTTCGGATGGTTTTGTTCGTTTGCCGTTTTCAATGCGTTTCGAGCCTGTTTGTTCATGGCTGCAAAGTGGAAAGAATTAAGCCGCTAGTTTGGGAATGTATTTGTGCCTATCTTTCACTTGCCTTTTTGAGGACAGGATATCATTGGTATGGCGATAATCGCTATGAGTTTTGGCCAGCGCGTGAAGGCTTTGTCCCAAGCTGCGTTTAATGTTCGTTGTTTTCGTTTAAGCTGTGTAGTCATTTCATTGGACAATAGACCTCAATGGACATCAAGTTTCATAAGATTCAGCCCTGGGCCAATTTTAGTTAGCCCCACGAGCACAACAAACTGACCCTAAAACATCTTAAACTTGGCCTTTTACAGCCCATCGCTAGTAGGTTGGAGGCCATTGCCTATTTAAGTCTGTCACGCTGTTTGCAGGCATGCTCCTCTTCGAGAATGCATGAGCCTCTTCGAGGCATCCGTATACCACGCTCGCTCTGACGTCGTGGTCGTGCGAGGTCCGGAAAGTTCATGAGATGTGGCCTGAGAAGCATATCATCATGACTGAGGCATGTCAGGAGATGGGACGGTCATGTGGGTTTGGTTCCAAACGCAGATGGATGAACTGTCACCCAAACGCCAACATGAATTTTCTTGCAATAACATTGCACCGTTTGCATTGTGCGCCTTGGAGCTGTGGTTTCCTGTCATGAATTCTGAACCCTGCCGGAATGGAGGAGTCTGGTCCTCGCATTTGGGATTGGAAGCTTGGGGAGCGGTATGCAGAAGCAATCATCCAGGTGCAGTTGGATTAAGTTTCGAAGGTTCGACGTTCAATCTGTTTGTGGGTCATCTTGGGCGGCTGTTTCTTCCGTATGGGCGCATGGCCGTTGTTTAAATGTTGTGTTGAGATAGAATTGGTCGAGTTCAAAGTCCATCAACTGACGAGAGCGCAAAAGAATACACACCTTTTGAGAAGCTGGCGCAGTCAAGGTTGCAGGTAGAGTCCGTCAATCAACACTAAGGCTAACAGAGTGCACGTTATACGTGTTATGTATATATTGAATTGTTTGTTAAAAACACATGCTGTGTGACTTATATAAAAATAAGTATGTATATATATATATATGTATGAGTGTGTTTGTGTATACATATATATACATATATGTATTATATATTATATATATACATACAGCATGCAAAGTGCAATTCCTCTATCAGAATCCAAGTCTTGTTCATTGTGGTTGAATGTTCTTGGGGACACATTCATGTATACAAGCTAGCCGGACTAAAGGTAAAGTTCCTCAGACCATCCTTGATTGAGTTTGCAGGATTTGGAGGGATGGCTCGAAGCCTGGATCGATTGGAACTTGATACTGGACCGACAGTGCAAAAGTTGACTGACGAGTTGAAGGGTGCGTGTCCTCGAGAAATGCCATGTGAGGATGAGACTGGCGGCCCAAATCATGTGAACAACTTGGTTTCAGCTGCAAGCTGAGGAAAGAGATGGCTGTGCAGATTCTGCAGGGACATTTCAAGACACGAAGACTGTGTCTCAACCATTTTTGATTCCTTACGATTACGAGCGGATTCTTTGTGCTTCACGGTCTCAAATCTTCTTCCCCAAGGCGCCGGTCATCTACGACACAGCCAGAGCAAAGGGCAAAGCCGGACCAAGAGAGAAAATCATGCTCAGTCATATTATTGAAATGTTTAACGATCCGATTGTCATGCTTACACACTAATCGGAATCTCAATTAATTTAACTTCAACATATCGAAACCCAAGGATCGGCTGGTTTTCCTCTCATCCTTCTACTACATAGGTCACTTCTCGCCCCTTCCTTGGCAGTTGTCCTGCAGTGTAGGGGATTCGAAGAAAGAAAGCTGCTGGGTGAAGTTGCGGAAAGATGCGAGTGAAGATGCGGTTTCTTAAGGCGCTTCATTGTACCTGGAGCTCAGCGCATTGCGGTCGCCAGCAATCGGGACAAGCTGAAGGCAAGTTCCACCAGTGGGAGCGTGAACAGATGAGAGGGCTTGAGGAGAGTGCCTCACATGTTCTTGGCATTACGAAAGGGGCTACGACGCTGCTATGCAGCGTATGCCTCTACAGTTCTACGGCATCAACCACTACAAAGACGAGTTGGCCCTTCGTGCTGCAACCTACTTGCCACTGACTGATCATGTAGGCCACTGGCTTCATGAACCCTGACGGGAGTGTGGTGACCGTGGTGCTGAACCAGGTATGGGATGTGGATGGATGAATGGATCATGATTTTATACATGACAATATCATGAAATTAGAACATGTTTGTATATTTTTGGAAATTTGCGGATCATTTGAGCCCAAGTCGAGCCCGACAGGAAGACTACAACATTGAGTTCTTCTTGCAGGCCCTTCAAATACAATTTCTCCTCATGGCCTTTTCATGCCCGAGTGCTTGTCCGTGCATCGAAGCCATCCAAAACCGTGCATCGCTTCGAATGAAGATGCCACCACCCCAGGTGGCTGGAAGAGCCGCGCCAACGCAGGCCTACATTGGCCCCCGAAACCACCCCAATGTAGTAGTCATATATTGGCTGGATTGGCAGCTAAACATTTGCATATATTCCAGTCCCATGTTTAATTGTTTGACTCTTTGGGAGCTACGGCTTTTTGTGGAAGAGTGAAGAATGCGGCGCCACTGGCCAGGTCCCATCACGTTCAATTGTGACATTTCGTTTTCATTCAAACGATGTCAATTGATCGTTGACCAAAAATATTGTAATGAGTTGCTTGAACTTATGCATCAATAATAAATATATTGAATTGTTGAATGTCAACGGTGGATCAATAGCCCCCCCAGAATGTTTCTTGTTCGGAGAATATCTGAAATTTTAATTTTTGGGAATGATCAATCAGGAGAGATCACCAAGATTAAATCTCTTCATGAGAAGATATCCCATAGACTAAATCTCTTCCTGAGGGGGATTCCAAAGATTTGAATCTCTTCATGAGGAAATTCACAAAGAACAAAATTATTTATGAGGAACATTCCAAAGACATCAAAATAAATCTCTTCATGAGGAGGGGGGATACTAAAGACATATTTGCTCACGACGGACATTTACAAAGAAAAACAATTTCGACACTTTCACGAGATCCAAACAAAATCATCGGATATATATTGGATACCAGAAGAATATTGAAAATTTAATAAACATATATTATATATATATATGAATAATATTCGATTGGATATTGATTATTTACAAATATATATATTTAATATAATATAAATATGAATTTATTTAAAATTGATATTTTCTAATATGGATAATGGATTTTTTAAAATTAGAATGTTAAAAAAAAAATATAGAAATTACGAAAGCTAGCGAAGCTAGATGGAGTTATTCTTGCGATAACAAGGTTTCTTTCGACCGGGTGCAAATCTTAACCCCTGAATTTTTCAGGTCGAAGACCCCCCTCCCCTATCCCCCCCCCCCTCTCCCCTCCTCCCCTCTCCCCACCCCACTTCCCCTCTTTTCTTCCTTGTTTTCTTCCTACTTTCCTTCCCTCTTCTTTCTTCGTAAGTTCGACTCCGTTTTGTCGTCGCTCTTTGGCATGCGGTTAGCGTTGCGTATTTTGCGGTCGTACTCGCTTATTCTCTCACTCTCACTCTCACTCTTTCATTCTTTTACTGTCTTACTGTCTCTCTCATCTTTTTCTCATCTTTCTTATCTCTTTTATCTTTTTCTCCTTTCTTTCTTTCTCTTCTCTGTTTCTCGTCTTTCCGTTTCTCTTCTCTTTCTTCTCTCGCAGGAGGATCCGGATAAAGAGCCACATATTACGAAAGCTAGCTGGAGTTACTCTTGCGATAACAAGGTTTCTTTTGACCGGGTGTAAATCTTAATCCTTGATTTTTTAGGTCTCTCTATCTCCCTTCTCCCCACCTCCCCTTTCCTCTTCTTCCTTCTTTCCCTCCTTCCCTCCCTCCCTCCTTCTTCCCTCTTCGTAAGTTCGACTCCGTCTTGTCGTCGCTTTTTGGCATGCGGTTAGCGTTGCGTATCTTGCGGCCGCATTCGCTTACACTCTCTCTCTCTTTTCTGTCTCTCGTCTTTCCGTCTCTTTTTTTTTTCTTCTCTCGCAGGAGGATCCGGGCAAAGAGCCATATATAAAGGACTCTTTACCCCTGCCTCTAAAAAGAGCGCCGTGTTTTTTCCTACCTCGCTGCCCTCTACTTTCCCATTCTGGAGCGCTAGCTTTCGCCCCCCCCGTTGGCCTCAAGTATTAAAATCGATAATACATTATTTATATATATATGAAGATATATCGATATTTGGATTTTAAAATAATAGGATAATATATATATATTTTTTAAATATATTATTTCTATAATATATATATATATTTAAATTTTATATAAAATTTATAGCAAAATATTGGCATAAATAATGATTATTTTTAATTTAATGGCATAAATAAATATTAGAAATATTTAAAATACTAAAATGATTAAATACAAAGGAATATATATTAGTCTAAATATATTATGGTAATTGTTTCGATTAAATTCTTAATTAATAATATTTTTATTTATTAAATTTATATTTTATAATTAGGATTACAATATATTAAGGAATAAATCTTCTAATAATTATATATATTTAAATAATTAGAAATTTAATATTATATAATTTATTTATATCTTTGTATTTATTCTTTTAACGGGGAGATCGGTATCGATTGGGGATAAATATGCATTATCTTTCGAGGCGAGAGACCTAACATTGATTTCATCGATAAAATTTATCGATTTCCCCTATGATCCCAATAATATCGGTTAACGGAAAGGAAAAGCGGTATGGAATAGAAAAAGAGAATAAATATAGAGATAGATGGAAAGGATAAACACATATTATCCCAGCAAGAGACCCCAAACAGTGTGTGTGAGGTTTGTGAGCGGAAAATCTAGAGATTTATTGGGGTGCAGAGAGGTGATGGTGGTGATGAAATAAAGGTGGGTGTTAGTGAGTGTGGGTGAGTGAGAGTGAGTGCGAGTGAGTGTGGGTGAGAGTGAGTGGGAGGGAGAGTGGGAGAGTGTGGGTGAGTGAGTGTGTTTGTAAATGAATAAGAATGGGAATGAGGATGGATGAGAAGGAATATAATAGAAAATTAATGAGTATGAATGCGAATATAAATGAATATTGGATAATAAATGGGAATTTATTTCGAAATTTGTATTAAATATTATATGTTTAATGAAATTTGGATTTCTAATTCTATTATTTGCTATATTAATATCGATATTATATTTCGAGAATTATGAAAGTTTGGATTTATTACCGAAATTCGAGGTCTATTAAATATTATATTTATTACGTAATTTAAAATATTATAATTAATATAAAATTTGTATTTCGAAAATTTTTGTATAATTTATTTGTTACGAAATTTCTATTTCGAGGGGTATTAAATATTATATTTATTACGAAATTTGGGTATCGAGGATTATAATTCGTTGTAATATATTTATATTTCTCGATATTATCTATATGCATTTCGATTGCGAAGGCTCGTCGATTTAAGGGGTCTGCGGTGGGTGCCTTAGGCGTTTGCGGTCTCGGCCAAATCGATTTTTCGTGATAAATACAAAGAATTGGAATTAGTTAATTTCAATATGTAATTTTCGTGGTCGGTATAATATTTTGGATATAATAATAATTGTCGAGGAATTAAGATTTCATAAAAGGGGTAATGAATCGTGATTTTTTTTGGTACTTGTAAATTTTGGGGTAAACATAATATTTGGTAAGCCTCAGCGATTAATAAATCTCGAAATGCAGATTTCGTAGCAGGTATAACATTTAGTGAGCCTCGAAATACAGATTTCATAATAATTTAATATTTAATAAACCTCATTTTAATATCCTCGATATATTAATTTCGTACGATATGCAATATTTTTTAAATTTCGTTGTAAATGCAAAATATAATATTTTAGCCCCATATACCCGCACGAAATAATAATCTAAATCCTTTCTTTATCATAAATTTTTCTCAATATATATATATAAATAAAATAATATATATAAAAATATATTCATTATATTTAATTTTCCAATTAAAAATTATATTATATATTTTTATAAAAAAACAATAACATATATTTAATATTTAAATATATATTTAGAGAAATTAATAAAATCTTTAATATATATTTAATTATATTATTTTAATATTAATTATTTTAAAATCAATTCGTCAATATATTATATTTTCGATTAATATAATTTATAAATAATAAACAATTATATTATATATTATTATATAATATAAAATTAAAATTATTTAATATATAATTTTCAATTATTATTTGTTTCAAAATTATATAAAAAATTATTAAACATATATTTATATATTAATGCCAATATACAATTAAATATATATAATATTATATATATATTTATATATTTTTTGTCATCACAAGAGAAGGTATGTTGTCCTGTCTTCAAGATTAATTACGCAATACAATTGGCATTCTTAAAAAGACTTAGGCTCTAAATTCCTATTATTCATCAAATAGAGGATATGAAAACATCATATGGGACATGTATATGCAATCATGCAGCCTGCACAAAAGCCAATAAACCGAGCATGCAAGGACACCTAATTAGCATCTGATGAGAAAACCACACTAAATCCCAGCGTACAATCCCAAAACACTAGTACAAACAAAATTCAGAACATGTCTGAACATTAAAATCTATCACTTTGCCTAGCGCACAGCTCTGCGATACGACTTTCAAGAGGATGATACGACTTAAGCCTACTGCTTGTAGGATATAATCAATTCCATTCAATTATCGGTAAAACTATATAAATATATCTAAATATATATCGTAATATATTTTGGTTTCCTGTTTTGCACGTCGCGTAGGTCGGATGAAGTCCGCTAATGCAGCGGCGTCGGCTCCTGATTGTTGTTGAAACCACTCACAAACACCAGCCGAGCTGTGGAACAAACAAACGAAGCAGGACACGGAGAGGCAAGCACCTGGACAGTTGGACAGGCTGTGCAGTTGGGTTTTAATCCAATGAAGCTTGACCATGCTTCAGCAACTTTCTCGAAAGTAATTCGTATGTTTCCGGATTGCGGAGGAAACAATCTCACCTTAACATATCTCAAATCAAGTTTTCCAATTGTCACCTGTATTATCCTGTATTTGTGCGTACGGATCCGACCAGTTCGTTGGAGCATCGCACGCGTACTACTGTTGATGGAAACTACACCACTTTTGTGAAGATGGCTGCATATTACACCCTCGCGCCCCCTTTTAAATAGTGCTTGGTCCGGCATCAAAGCTTGCAAAGGTCCAATTGACGAGAATCCTGCGCCATCTGCCTGCATGACCGGCATGACCTACCATTGAATGGGAGTGGTGCAGGATTTCTTACGTCAACCGTGGGTCCTTAGGTGGTCTGTTGCACTTAAATGTTCAGGTGAAGTCCTAGTCACCGTAGTCCAGACCTACAGTATCAAAATGAACCGAAACGGTGACACCCAACAAAGGCCGCATGACTTTCGGGGCGTTCTGGCTTCTGGCACGTGAATATCAACAAAGGATTGTACATGCGACATCAAACTTGGAACTATGTAAATCAAACGCTTCAGCAAGCCAACTCTCAGATCCGCCAAGCAGCTGGCAGATAAGGGGACTTCTTTGAACTTTTGCAGGGTCCACTTCCACCCGAAAATGTCGGTCTTGCGCTCTGAACCTCGGATTCTTCCATTCTGTTAAACTCGTGATTTGTGGTCCTCACACAGGAGGAGCGCCATGGCAGAAACAATTCCCAGGATGTTTTTGGACATTCAACCTACCAATGGTGTTTCTCAAACAAGGCAATGCAGCGAAAGGAGCTCTGACCATTCAAAGCCTGCAAAGGTGCGCCTCACGGGCCAGCTGGATGCGGCCGACGCCAACGCTTGCCAAAAAGGCTGAACACTGGAGCAAAAACCCAACCATAAGTGCTTATACCAATTCACCCAAGTGATTCCACTTCCACTGGTCTTCTTTCTTTCACTTTTGCAGGCAAAGTCCCAGATTTCTTGGGCCACCAAACTATATTAAACTCAACCTACTTCCTGGTTCAACAGAAAACTAACCTGCCTCCATGCCAGGAAAAGCGGTCAATCTCACCATCGTCCTGAGTGGTGGAGGAAGAACAAACAAAGCACTACCAGTATGTGGGAACACCTGGGAAGCCTGGGGAATGTGTAGGGAATGCATCATGCATCATGCATTGCACGTTTGAATTCCCACTGGGTGTGCTGCCTGTCTCGTCCAGAAGACGCACATGGATCCTTGTTGCGGCTGTACCTTTCAGAGCTTTGTTGATGACCAAGCAAACAACAAGTTTTCCAAGCAAAGAGTCTTCGGATGCTTTCTCTCGTGCACTGTCGGACCGTGGATAGATGGGCTGTGAGTGTTGCTATCATGGCTCCGGTGACTTGCCACATCAATCCGACCTACATCTCCTTGCACCGCCGATGAGGTCAGTACAATCCCACCACACGGACCTTAACCCAACTTAACCTCAGCTGGCTCGTTGATCATCACCCATGACCAACCTCACATTCCCATAAAGGGCCCGAACCACCCCGCGACTTGATGTTTGTCAAGACCAGTCAAGCGGTTAGTGTTGCGGGGGTGGTGCCAGGACCCTACTCATGACATCTCAAATTGCACTAAACAATGAAACAAGGATCACACATAAAGAAAGGGCCACAGTAAAAGCACACACCAAAATTGACAATTGCAAGATCACATCAAAAAGGTAACTGGTCACTTTGCAAACACAAAAAATGTGTTCTTCTCCTAGCCCATCTGGCCAAACCGAGCTGCCCGAAGCCCTGTGGGCTCCGCGGCGTCTGCGCGGGCGAGGAGCTCGCGGGCAGCGCGGGAGGCACGGTCCTCAGGGCGTCGAGCTTTCGGAAGGAAGTTGGTTACAAAAGTGGCACGTCGAGGGTCCATATTCTGTATAACTCAGAAGCTACTTGGTGGAGGCCATCGCTAGTAGGTTGGAGGCCATCGCTACTAGTAACAGAAAGCTACTATATAATAGCATCTTGCTAGATCTGTATAGTTATGTTATCCCAACATTCCAGTTATTGTAATTGTGCACGTGCAGGGTCTCAAATCCTCTGGGATGTGTCCACTCCACTATTCTGAAATGCACCATCTGGACCATCTGCACCATGGATGCTTTTCTCTCTTGTTCCACTTGCTTTGGGTCCAACAAATCTTGTTCTCAGTTCTCAGGGTTGTACAGGAGCAGGCAGGCACGCCAGACTCTACTCACGTGGGGGTTGATGCAATGCCCTGATGAAGCTTTATCCACAGCGATGTCCATGACCTGCAAGCGCTGCCTAAAAGACTCAAAACCTTAGAGTATGTATAGAAGTAGAAGCTCTTGCAACTGCCCAGCCCCTTTTCTTGGGAGGAGTCTATGGGGCGAAGAAACATCCTGATGCGAGCCATCGTTCTTCCAAAAGCCTTGCGGTGTCCGCACCAAATGCGACAAACTCAGAATGTGCCCACGATTCACGATGGTGCTTGTCCGTATGGGAGATGGTGGGAAGGGGGATCAGCTAGTTACACTCCCACTCACTGACACGAAGGCGATGCCCCTGAAAGCAAATGGCGTTTGCTTGGATATGAGTATGAGCGACTTTCACGGATGATCCTCATCCAAAAGCACTCTCCTCACCATCACTGCGACCCAGGTACTGCTTTGTCCGGGTTGGCCGCTGGATCTTCCGAGAGGTTCAAAGCCTCCAGGGGGACGGGGCACAGCCGCTGGGTAGAGCGCCAAGGTGAAGCTACCAACTCAACTGCTTGGAGTTACAGTAGGAACAGAGTTGGCTGCCACGGTGGAAAGCCTTATCATTTAAGGGGTCATGCATTGTCATTATCATTGTTGGTTGGTGGCGTGTCCAACCAAAATGACTTGCTCATTGAACATGTTGCAAGGGTACAACAGTCAATTTTGGAAAGACTCTGGTGCGAGATGCTGACTGCACCGTTCCGATGCCACCACTGCTTTTGTCCTTCGTCATCCTTGCATAGAGTAGCAGTCTAAAACAAACAAATACACAATGGTACAATGAAAGCAGGTCCACCTTCCAAATGCCATCCTGCTTATGACGTTTGATGAAGCTTGGGGTCCCTTCTCATCCTTCTCCGGCTTCTTGTTGGGGCATGTTGGGACTCGGCACCGGCTCGTAGGACCACCCAGCACCTTGTCGGTGTGGTCGAGATTGAGATCCAAGAGCTCTCCCGCAGCCTGCGGTCGAATCTAAGGTTCCATTCTGGAGTCTCAGTGTGGTTAGCTATTTTTGTTCAATGTCATCAGGCCTATTTGTCAAACAGCCCCCAATCAGGGATCTTGTGCGGGGCAACACGCATGCGCCTGTGAAGGGCTCAGTGTTCACATCTGAACTCTTAGTGACAACACCTTTGTCCAACCTGCAGTCAAAGACGGGAAAACCTAACCCACATGGAGGAGTTTTCAGCAAATCAATAGCTCACGTCCGCTCCTCGCGCGTTTTCATCCCCCCAACTGCCTCAATGGCCCGTTCCTCCAGCTCACTTGGAGGTCCTGAACTGAGGCCGAGAGGCCATGACTTCGGCCGCTCGAGGATGGCGATGAAACCCTTCCAAACTAACTGTTTAACCTGCACATTCCCTCATGCTCATTTATATATATATATATGCATTCTGGTTGGCCAAAAGAAGGTGTTTTGGGATGGCGTGTCCCTTCACCATGTGTGACTCCTGGGATCTTTAGAGCTGCGATCAAACACGGGCGAGCCACAGAGAGAAACAACAATAGAAACTTTAAGGACAAAGAACATCGTTTGTTTTAAGGTGGGGGGTAGAGCAGGTTTTAGTTACAGTACTAAGATCTACTAAGTAGCTACTGAGCTACTACAGTACCTAGTAGCTTCTCAGGCTTGGACGCAAAGGGTTCAGGCTTAATTGATTTGGTTCCTTGATGTTCATGATATTCCTAGACTTTGAGGGAAACCATACTTCACACCCAGGCCCTAGCTAAACACAACAGCACTGGATTGTCCAGCTTAAGCAAAAGTAATCCTCAAGATCCCTGAAGTATGGTTGCAAATTTATTTCTGGAATTTTTTTCGTGTTTTTTTTGATTTGTTTTGTTTTTCGTGTTTCGTGGCAGGTGCAGTACTTTGTGGACCTTGCAAGGCACATTTCGTGGCAGGTGCAGGACTTTGTGGGCCTTGGAGTGCGGAGTTTGTGGCAGGCGCAGGACTTTTTGTGGGCCTTGAAGTGCAGATTTCGTGGCAGGTGTAGTACTTTGTGGCCCTTGGAGTGCAGATTTTGTGGCAGGCGCAGGACTTTGTGGACCTTGAAGTGCAGATTTCGTGGCAGATGCAGGACTTTGTGCGTGTGGAAGTGTAGAGTTGGTGGCAGGTGCAGGACTTTGTGGGCCTTGGAGTGCAGATTTCGTGGCAGGCGCAAGACTTTGTGGACCTTGAAGTGCAGATTTCGTGGCAGGTGCAGTACTTTGTGGATGTTGAACTGCAGAAAGATAGAAAGATAGAAAGATAAATAGATAGATAGATAGATTAGATTAGATTAGATAGATAGAGGAGGCATATTTGCTTGGTTAGAAAGTTTTGCAAAGGGGAGTTCACCTTAAACTATTGATTTCGTGGCAGGCGCGGGTGTCGGGGATGAAGTGCAGATTTC